TGTCAGTTTCTATTTGCCTCAGCTATCTCCTGCACAACATTTAAACAACATTCAAATTGGGACAGTGTTGGGAGATGCCACTGGCCTTCTCATTGCTTCATCCTGCGGGCCTTTTCAGTTCAGATCTGCCTCAGAGATGCCTCCCTTTACTACTGCCTGCTCTTTTTTATTTTCTGAGCTACCAGAATCCTCCCTCCAATCCTTTGCAATGGAATAGGACGCTGTCTTGGTGCTCTTTTTCCTTTTTGTCCTACCAAATCTTACATAGATCCTTTCCATTTTGGAGGTCTTAAGGACTAACCACGTTGGGGAAACAGGCAGAGGTGAGAACAACACTTTCCTGTCTGGGCTGGAATATTCTTTCCTTGACTATATTTTTCTAACTCTAGTTATCTCCTTTACAATATCCAGGAGTATCTTTGGCACCAGTACTTGGCAACTCTATGCTTCCCCATAGGCTGTTTTATAAAAATGCATTAATTAGCTGATTAATTGATTTATACCTTCTTATTCCAAAATCTGGTGTCAGGGATGCCTCTAGTCCATAGGGCATTTGGAGATATGAAATGGTGGACATACTTGATCTTTCAAGTATCCAAACTTGGTTCAATAAGAGGGTTAAACTGATTTTTTGGGTTAGAATGTCCCAGAGCTCAGACCTTAGATCTCTTTCTGTCTTTCCACTCGTTTTTTAAAGGGAGCATGTCCAGTACCATGGCTTTAAATACTACCTTTGTATTGTTGATGACTCCCAAATATACATCTGTAGTCCCCCATGAAGTTCAGACTCATTTCTGATTATGTACTAGATCTCTCCACTGGTATGTCCATAAATACTTTAAACTTAACGTGTCAAAATCAAACTCTTTATTCTCCATAATCTAAATTTGCTTTTCCTGTAGCATTCCCAATCGCAGTAAACTGTTGCTCAGGCCAAAAATCTTTGAGTCTTTCTCTCATATGCCACATTCAATTTTTCAGCAAGTGCTAATAGATACTTTTTAAAATATGTCTCAAGTCTGCCCACTTACCATTTCCTTCAGCATTACCATTCTAGTCCCAAGCCATCATCTTCTCTCACCTTGACCACTGCAATAGGCTTATAATGGTCTTCTTGCTTCACTTGCCCTGACCCCTGCTTTAAAACATAAATTATATTATAGTTCTGTGCTGCTTAAAACTCAGTGACTTCCCATCAACAAGGTCTAACCTAACCTGGCCCTTGACTGCCTCTCTGTCTTCATCCTCTATGAATATCCCTTTCACTCACTCCCCTCCAGCCACACTGACCTAGCTTTCTTCAATCAGCCTAGGAACATTCCCACCTCAGAGTTTTTGCATTTGCTCTTCTGTCTTCCTCGAACTCCTTTTCTCTAGATATTTATGTGGCTTGTTCTTTTACTTCATTTGGGTCTATATTCAAATGTTATTTCCTCAGAGAGGCTTATTTCTTTATTAGTCATCTTCAAGTAGCACCCTCCTAAATTTGCTCTATAGTTCTTATTGCTGTTGTACATTATATTAAAACTATTTGTTTTATTATCTGTGTCCACACTTGAATGCAGTCTCCATGAGGCCAGGGAGGGCAAGGGCATTGTCTGTTTTGTTCACTGCTATATTCTCAGCAGCACTTGGAACAGTGCCTGACTCATATGATATACTATATATATATATATAAATATATATATAAATATATATATATAAATATAAATATATATATAAATATAAATATATATATAAATATAAATATATATATAGTGGTAAATGAGTGAATTTATGAAAAAGTGGCTGCACCTATTCTTTGAGAAGGATTGTGAAGGAATGTCCAACCTCAACAATGGATCCATAGTCTCCAAATCACTGCTCCTGCCTCCATGCATAGATCGGTTATCTAACCAATGTATGCATGCTTTTGGCTCCATGACACTCACCCCTCTGAATCTTTTCCGGCATCAGGTCCCTCATTTACTTAATCTCACAGGCTGTACTTTCCTTCTTCATCCCATAAAAGTAGGTTTTAAAAAGAATTTTATAACCAATGCTCATACATAGAAAAAGCAGTTTTTGTTAGGATATGAGAGTTATTTCATGACAGCAATGGTGAGAACAGAAAACAAGGTAAAAGAAATTAGACACTTGGAAAAATTTCCAGAGTTCTGAAGGAACTTGCAAATATTTTGGAGAGAATATCTTTGTGAAATCATAACAAATGGGAAACGCAACAAAAGATTGCATTTTTTACTAGTTATAATTCACCTGAATGTCACACGTCTAACATTCAGTCCAACCTGGGTTACAAGGTTTTTAAAAAGACAAAATGTCTTTAAAAAGACAGAGTTGGTTAACAATGTAGTGAGGATATTTGTTATTTGATATAGGATTCAAAGGGGTGAGTGTCATGGAGCCAAGAGCATGCATACGTTGGTTAGATAACTAATCTATGCCTGGAGGCAGGAGCAGTGATTTGGAGACTATAGACAGCATCTTACAATTAATGGTTGAATAATAATAATAATTGCAAATACTATGTGCCAGGCATTATTCTAAATGTTTTTTGTAAAAAGCTATTTAATCCTCATCCTATGAAGTAGATACTATCATGTTTATTTTCAGATGAGGAAATAAAGGGACAGAGAGGTTAAATTACACTGTCAATGTCACACAGCTAGTAACAAGTAGCCAATACTGGTTTTATTCTGATTTCAGAGTCTGTGTTCTTAACCACTGTATTATTATCCTTGAATATTTGAGGTGGGTGCTACTGAAAAATAATTGGGGTGACTGTCAAAGTTATAGGGAGTCAGTTGTATCCTTAGCCTCAATCTCAAGAGTCACCACCTCCTTCCCAGTCCTCTGAGTCTACCCACTATATATCTCTATCATAGGTCTGGTAAACTGGCACTTTATTAGTTATTTGCTTTGATCTCGATCTTTTTCTGTTAACCTACTTTATTTAACCTACTTTAAGAATTATATTTGATTTCTTTTTGAGCCCTTAAATTTAATTTAGTGCTTGCCATATAATGGACATTCAGTTTTTGCTGAATTAAAAAAATGAATGAAGGTTCTTTAAGTTGATTACAACTGACCCATGGTAGAACAGTTTTCCTGTGAAGTAGTGAGCTCCTGATCACTGGCAGTATTCAAGCATGGGCTAGATGCTTGAAGGGATGCTGCAGAAGGAACATCCATGTCATATGGAAATGGAAAATTAGACCAAGTTTTTTTTTTTTTTTTTGTAACTCTGAATTATCTGATGTTCCATTGAGTTAGTTGTGATTCTTTCTCCAAACATTTGTTGAGTACCTGCTGTATTCCTGACACTACAACGATAAATGTGGCCAAGCCAACATACATAAGGAGCTGGTAGTCAATGAGTAATTAGGAAAAGAAGTGCTTAAGGGTATAGGTGTAAAGCTTTAGTAGATAAAAATAAATAGAAAAGGATAGATTTTAGAGATGTTTTGAATAAAGGTGGAAGGGGAGTAGTAGATATGAAAGATGTCCCTAAAATTGCCTGAGAATGAATTTGGGGAGTTAAGACCACATGCTGTGTTGTTATGGGGGGATTCTTCAAAAGGGAAATATCACTATTTGCCATTAAGGTATGTGGTAGGGCTGGGTGTAATTCAGTAGATGGTAATTTGTGAAGCATTTTAAATTTCTTAAAACAAATGTGCCTTCTCTTAGTAGTCTCCAAGACCCACAGAGATGATTAAGTACTCTTCCCCTAACTCTCTGCCCCTGTAGAGGTATTAATGCAAAATGGAATAATCTGTTAAGTCAAATAAAGGTTAGCTTTTTGGTGACTAGGACAAGAGTTCTAACAGAAATGCAAAGTGATTCTTCAGTTTCTTTTCTGAATCATGTGCCTGGAATCTGTTAGGCAGTGAGGAATGGTGGTCTGTCTTTATATTACCCTGGTCCCTCATGCTGCTTATCTTTCACACATGTCCAAATATGTCTCAACACAGAATCATCCTCTCTAGCTGGGACATGATGCCTAGGTGGGTGGGGGATTCCCCTGTTTTGTTTAAAATCAAAGTTGTCTTTGAATTTGGCTAGCATGTTTGTGATTAGTTTACTGACAATTGGTTTTTTTCTTCTTATACCATATGTTATTCCATGATTCATCAGCTTTGAGTCTGTTGCCTTGAAGGTGAAACAATTTCTTCCAATGTTGATATTTCATAATCTCATAGATAACAAGCATACGCATATGCATAGTCCTTTCAGAAGTTTTAAACATTTGGAGATGAATGAATTATGCTGCCACAAATGGAAAGGAGCAGTATAAAATTATAATGGTGATATCCAGTCATCTTTTGTTGTGTGGTTTTGTAAACACTGATACTGATAAAGCCTGAATGCTCTACTATATTCCTTTATCTCTCCTTGTGAAATTGTTTCTGATATGTATTTGTTTATGATTTTAAAAATTTAACATTTTACTTAATTGCCTTGATTTACATGTATTTTAATATTTTAGACTGACAAGATCTTTATTTTTAGAAGTAGTGTTTAACTTCCAAATAAATGCATAACATTAGCTGTTTATATTGTAATAGTGGCATATTTTCTATATTTAATGTGTAGCAATGACTATTCAAACCTCAAGAAATGTTTTAGTTTATAATAGTAATTTTTCAAAATATCTCAATAGAATACATTACATTTTCTGAATCCAGAACAAAGCAGTTATTTCAGCGTATGTGCTTTCTAAGTATTTAGAAGATTAGATTTCTAATAAACATGGACTAAATTAGGTTTCTTCATGTAGCTTTAATCAATGCACTTATTGTGTTGCATCCTTTAGCCACCTTTCTCTTTTTACCACAATGTCAATAATTGTTTTTCAGTGAAGACAATTCTTTATAATTTCATAGTGTAGATGCATGTGTAAAATATCTGTATAAGTTGTACATTTGGAGAGAGGTTTTTTAAAGATTCTAAATCACAGCATGTCTTCCTTCCCATCTCCCCTGCTTACCTGGTTTTAGCTCCTCTTTGGTTCAGGTGTGCTGGTGTCGCTAAGCCTTTCTGGGCCGCAGCTGGAGAAAGTGGTGATTGACAGAAGCCTGGTGGGGAAGCTCATCTCAGACACCATCAGTGATGGTAATTACCCCCATGTGCAAATCAATTGCCTACATTAACAGTGGGGCAGGAAAAATAGTGTGTCAACAGGTAGACTAATTATTACCACTGGGGACTTGCAAACAAAACAAGTAATTGCTTGTAATAGCACACTTACCCCCTGGGACCAATACAAGTTTTGACTAATATTTAATATCAAAGTTTTTTTTTCTTCTTGTCAAGTGTTAAGCTTATGTTCTGAGTTGTTTTTTACTTTTTCCTTAAAAGAAGTGAGCATTGTTTTCAAAATAGTTAGTTCTTTCAAAGTTAGTTCTCTATAACTGGTACTTCAAGTATATATTTCATTTCCAAATGAATTTTGAATAAATAACACAAATATACCAACACAGCCACCAGTAAACAATTGATGCTTTGGCTCTCATAGGAAGATTCCTTGTTACTAAAATCTTACGAATACTAACTTTTGAGAGATTTTGGGCTATATTTTCTAAATAATAAAGATCAATGCCTAATATACTGGATAATCAGGTCCTATTAAGTGACATCACAATCAGTCTGTAATTGGTACAAAGCACATAAGAAAAAGATATTAAGCCAGTTATTGAATAGGAAGGATACTGATATTTATTGAGCCAAAAGGCTCTGTATGCTGGGTTCCTAACCTACCTATTTAATACAAGAAAACAATTGTATAAGGTATAGTTGTTTCCATTTTTACACATAAGGAAACTGAAGCTGAGCTACTAAGGAACATGTCCAGAGTTATATAGCTAGAAAGTGACTGAGATGAGATTTGAATACAGGTTCTGGCTGCGAAGCCCATTTTCTTTTCACTATACCGTGCTGACTCCTGAATTTTTAAAGATTATATTCTTTTTTTCAAGGTAAAAAGGTTGAGAAACATTGTATTATCATGATAGATTGAAAATGGTCAGTATCTTAAATTTAGTAATCAAAGGAAGTATGTCCTAGTGGAAAGGACAGAGGTGAGAATAAAGAAATCTTCCGTCTGCTGTGTTCTCTCACTAGCTACCTCTGAATAAATCAGACAATCACGTCATCGTGAAGAAAAGAACTCTGCAGGATGGCCATAATTAGCAACATTACTGATAGTAATAAGCTGGGGGTAGGATTGTAAGCATGCCATTTCCCCTTCCTTACAGGAGTAAGGTGCTGAGGAAGCTTCCCTGTAGAAGAGGTTCCATTTCCATATGTCTAATTATTGACCCCTTCATTGGTACTGCAAATAAAATACTGGCTCTGATGATTTTGTTATATTGATGCTCCTCAATGAGAAATAAAAGGAGACTTTTCAGCACAATTTGTGTCTCTGAGTTATCCCTTTTCACGTATTTCTTTTATTTGTACCCAAAATAATACACTCTCATGGGAACGTGGTAACAATGTGATTTCTTGGCAGTTCTCCAGATTCTCTTGTAATTGTGTAGATCCACTGTTGGTCACTGTTTGCATGGTCAGGGGTGTGAAAGTAAAGGAAAATGTATAAAACATTTAATAATTTCTTTATGCTAGGAACAATGCAAAGCATTTCTCAAATTCCTGTAACATATTTTTATCAATAATTTTATGTAACATCAATAGCCCTTTATATAATCCACAAATATTAGTTATTTACCTACTTGTATGCTTAATGACAAAGCTATAGAAATTGCTAATTTTCATTATTAAATATTAATTTATGTAATGTACATATTGGGTATAATATGCTTTATTTCATCCAGCTTGTATACCCCTAAAAGAAGATTCACTGATGAAAATTTTTTAAATAAAGAGACTGGTTGAGAACACTGATCAGTATCCCCTAATAAATCCACTTTATCCTCAGATGGTTTCTATCATATAAACATAGGATTAAAGTCTTAGCACAAATAAAATGGAATGTTTTCATCTCTACATTCAGGTGTGAAATAGTTTTTTAAAAATATCTTTATAGCCCTGGTTCTAAATACATCTCATCCAGTGGTGGTCCCCAAACATCAGTGTATATTGAAATAGTCACAGGAAAAAAAAATCATACATGATTAGATTGATAATTATTGTTTATTCCTAATATCTTTAATATTTTTATAAAATGCTATAATGATATTCAGGAGACTTTAGTGATTTCAATTAATATGTATGTTTGAAAATAGCTTTTTGTAACATTTCAGTGGAAAAAATCTATCCATCATTTTATTCTAACTTGGTATTATCTAATTATGGTTTTTAGCTCTTCTCACAGACAGTTTTATCATCTTATCATTTTTGGCACAAAACAAGCTATGTTTTATTCAGTTTACCAAGAAGATGGATTCTTCTGATGTAAACAAAAGACTGGAAAAACTCTCAGCCTTGGATTATAAGGTAGATATTTTGATTTATATAGTCATATTATTAATTATTAAGGTATATGAAAGTATCTCATAAGTTGGTATTCTGCTCATTATTCTTAAACATTCTGGATTTCAGAAACACTGGAAATATTACAGGATTAAGCTTAATTAACTGCAAACAGTGGCCATTCTAAGTTTTCTTTTATACTCTCACTATGGGGGGATGTCTAACAATGGCATGTTTGGAGCAATTTATATAGTATTTATAGACGTCAAAGACAGATAATAGAGGCAAGTTACACTTTGAAAATGGTTTTTGTACTAGTGGTAGTATATATATTCTCATTTTCCCGTAAGACCCCATATCATCTTTCTAGGGTAGGATAGCTGCTCTGGTTTCCACTTCACAAGAAAAGAAAGAAAGAAGAAGGCACTTTCAAAGGTTAATAGAAAAGTGTAATAAATAAGGAGGGGGAAGAACCCTCCCCTTCCAACTATAACTGGACAAAATGCAAAAAGAAATCTCCTTCATGTGTTAGTATCTCTCCCTTCACTAACTCCAGGTAATTTGTTTCCTTCCTGTATCAGGGGCTTTACATCTGTTAAGGCAGAATTCTTATTTTAAGTGATGTGTTTAAGTTTTGCCACATTACATTTTAACTGCTGGGAAGGCATATTCTCTGCTAGGATGAGTATCTAATACATTTTCCAGGCTGTTTCAGTTCAAGGCCTCTTTTCAGCAATGACTTGTGTTTGCAAGATTGATCCAACCTCTGTGATGTGGATTTGAGACAGTTCACTGTTCACTGGGAACAGAGCTGATACACAGCTTCCTTAAAAAAGATGCACACTTATGCCATACCTGGAGCATCTACAGCAAGAGCAAAGAGTTTGAGAAGCTAGCTCTGTAGCTTGAAATGTGTGTGTGTTTTTGGCAAACTAGTATTTAACCTAACCCTTTGCCCTTTGGGATTATTACTTATGAATGAGGTGGTGGTAGTGTGGGAGGATTTAGTTTTATTTAGTAGAAACATTTATTCTGAAAAAAAGATTTTTAATGTAGAATAAAATAAATGAGTTTTTCATTGTGGTAATAAACTACCATCTAGTTTTGTTTGCCAGCTTTGCGAAACTTCTGTAAAACCTTAATATAGATTTTTTAAAACTGGAAATTAGTGCTACTTATTATATGTGGTTAGCCAAAACAAAAATAGTATTAGCATTTTTAAAAGGATGTTAGTTCTAGAACGGCTAACTCCAGATTTACTTGAAATACTGTTTACTTACTAAAATTGATCGGTCTTTAAAATGCACCAGTGTGTGCATTAACTCAAACCATTTAAAGTAACTGTATATAAAATTTTGAATGACTAGTTTCTTTATCTTAGGTGTGATAGCTTGATAAAATCTTCTCAACTGAAGAGTAGTAGCTACCTGAGAACAGAGAGAAACTGTAAAGAGGTCATCTTTTCTTGTGAAAAGATGTGGAAAACAGATCTAGCATTTGGGTCCTTAAACCTTAAGTAAGGAAATTACTTACTTGCTTATTTGAATATGCCTTTGGATTTAGGAAAATAGGAACATTGGCACTCCATGTCATTTCTATACATTAGAGAAGTAATCTGTTTCCCTTCGGAAAGCTCATTAATTTCATTTCCTGGTTTAATATTTTAAAATATATTTTTAATATTTAGTCAAATCTGCTATTTGTCCATTGGAAGGATATTTTAAGAAATTTGTTTATTTTACGTTCCCTCTTGGTCATCATGAGAGAATATTGATAATATTAAACTCATAGGAAACATGAAATTTCCTAACATTTCATAACATAAATGATTTGCATTATGTGACAACTGAAAATGTCAGTCACTCATTGTAATTCAATTTCGTCATCTAGAAATTCATAGGTAACATACTTATGCGGCAAATCAGACGTCAAAATAATGTATATGTATTTTTAAGTACTTAGCAATTTCATTGTGGTATTTCTCTCAAATAAGAAGACTTAAAACAATGATATTGAGAGCTTAAATATAAGAAATTATACTTAATAGCATAAAGTACATCTGTGTTGTCTGTCATTGCCCATTTGGATTTTAAAACAAGGAAGTGGTATAGAGTATTGTACTTTTGCTTTTCTTTACAGCTGTACCATAGTTTAATTCTTTCAGATTGACATAATTTTGGCAAAGAAAATTGCAGGGTAAACATCCTTAAACTATTGACCTTTAACAAGTTTTCCTGTCTACATCTGAAACATCCGATTCAATTTATTTAACAGTGAAGGGACACTGCGAGGAGTTAAATGTTTACCATGAGAGAACAACACTGGTAATTACTTTGATTTCAGTTCCTTTTGATGTGCATTCAGAGGATGAAGAGGTCAATAATATTATGGCCATGCAAATAGAAAAGGGTTCCTTTTGACCATCTTGAAAAAAAATAGCAAAGGATTATTAAAGCATTAACCTTGGTTTTAATGGCCTTGGTTGAGTGGTGAGATCACAATTTGGATGAGCCTGATTATTTACTAAATACAATACATAAATGCAACGGGTTCTTAACACCCATTGCACTCTGGCATTATCGCATTACTGCCATCCTTTGTTGCCTTGCAGACAGGAATATGAAAGCAATCTGTCATGTAGTGAGACTGGCTCCAGAAGCATTTCTCTGATAAGAAGACCCCCTGCCCTTTGCTAGTGTCTGGTCCAGTAGGCTTAGCCATGCGCTTAATCCCCAGAAAGTGGTTCGATTATTGCTGACCAGCAATGGCAAGATAGTTTTTTTTTTCTTCCAAGCTATCAACCTTCCATTAATTCCTTAAGCAGAAATACGGTGCAATCTATATTTCCTTGGCATGTGTCACACAGATGGTGCCGTGCTTATGTTTTCAAATAACCATGTTCCAAAATAACATAGTTTGAATAATAAATTATACAAATCCTGCCTAAGAAAGAGAAGCATAATTCTCAGAAGCTGCATAAACTTTTATGCATGATGCTATGGCTTATCCCTTTTATGCAGAATATATGTGTATACGTCGCATATATTCTTTAAAGAGATATTTGCCTCAAGTTGTTTTTCCTTTTTTTGTTGTCAGTCATTGTTAACATGTTATGTCTTAAACAGTAGTGAGACACTCTTGGTCAGCAGTACTGAACTTGTCATTTTATACAGCTGGTCCTAAATCCTATGTGTAGGTCGATGCTGTCAAGCAACCATGACTGTACATTTTGGTATTGATTGGAATTGCTACATTCAATTCCTTCCTAACTCACATTTCTTCTCTTCCTTCCTTTGCTAAAAATGGGGAGAATTTTGAACATATGTCTTTTTTATACATGTGTCAGAAGAATTTGGTAAATTCTGACACCTTCTTAAGCACATGTTTAACATGCATATTTATTTGCATGTAACTACATTTCCAGATGCTTTAATTTTTGTAATACTTGAGGATTTTGCATCTTTTAAAGAAACGTTTCATGTATGCTTTTTTTTTCTTAATCATTAGATTTTCTATTATGAAATACCTGGCCCAATAAACAAGACAACAGAGCGACATCTAGCTATCAACTATGTTCATGATAGAGTTGTTTGCTGGTGGCCACTGGTCAATGATGATGCTTGGCCTTGGGCCCCCATTTCTTCTGAAAAGGACAGAGCCAATCTACTCCTCCTGGGTTATGCTCAAGGAAGACTAGAGGTAAATCTAAAACAAATATGTACATTTTAATAAAGTGTAAATAAAATAGGATTATTAGATTTTCTGTTCTGAAATAAATGTGAATTATTTTTTACCTATAATTTGTTTTTTCAAATATTCAGAAAAGGAAATTACATATGAAATGAGATCCTAAAAAGTATCGTATCTAGAAGATACCCAGACAATTCCAGGGCTGGCTAGAATAGTATAGTAATTAAGAGTCTAGGCTTCCAGGTTCAAATGCTAGCTCTGCCACTATGTAACTTCCTGTCCTTGACCAAGTTACTAATTTGTATGTGCTATAGTTTCATTATTTGAAAAATATGGTTAGTGATGATAAATGAGTTAATACATGCATTTAGAGCAATATCAATATATAGTAAGCCCTGATTCACTGTTCACTATTATGACTCTTGTTATTATCATTATTAGTTCTATTATTACTGTTTACTCATGATATCATGCCTGTGAAAGCTTTGTTACCAATTACTCTCTTCAAACCTCTGTCAATTAATGAACATTAGTTAAATGCCTATACTGTGTAAGTCCCTGTTGTGCCAGACCACATTTGGGGCAAGGATATTTAAGGAGAGCTATAGATTATAAGGTCAGGACAGTATCCTCTCAATTCATGATAATGGTTTGATCATTCATTCATATATGTGAACCTATGTGTATTTTCAGTTTGTACTAGTACTTTGGTTACAAAATTCTGTTTTTGTTGTATTATAACTGTAAAAAACAAGCTCCCTCTCCCCCACTTTCTTATGTAGGTAAAATAGTATGTTCCTGTATTTGCCTCTAAATCAATTATGTTTTAGACTTTTAAGGAGTATTACCCAGAGTCAGCATTTGAGATAAGATGAATAAGTTTAAGTTTTCTCTATCCCTACCTACCTCTCCTGGTTTTATAAACTTTCAGGCTATCTTTTTAAGACTGAAGAGTCCTAAAATTTGATGTGTAATATATATGTATGTATGTATATACATCTTCTGTAAAAATCCTCTTAATCACCTATAGATTTTTTAGTTTCCTTTTTCTGGAACTTTTCTAATTCTGTTACAGTGACTAAAATCACTTGTAGTATCGGTGTGGATTTTATGAGGCTAAATAAGTGCTCTATTCCTACTCACTTCCTGTTCATGACCAATATTTTCTTGATCTTGAGCTCAGAAGTTCATTGAGTAAAAGACTTTGTTAAAATGACTTAATGTAATTAAGCTAATTAGAATTCAATTAAATGGGTGTCTTATAATAAAAGTAAAAATAATTAAATTAGCTTTTAGTTATATATTTTACAAATAACCTTTCTTTGAAATGAGTCCTTATATGAAATTAGGACTGTCCTAAAAGGATATACATAGTCTACATACCTCATTGCCTGGTGTCATCTAGATCATGGACTTTGGAGTTGAACAAACTTGGGGTTGCCTGTTGGTTGCACCATATACTAACTATGTCACCTTAATCAAGTTTACTACCTCTAAAATATTGCCTGCTTCTAGCTAATTCTGTGTTCCGTGGCTGAGTAGATCACCTACCCTATCTGACTTTAGTTTTCTTACTTTTAAAACAATAGATTTAATTCAGATAGGTCACTTCTAGGTCTTTTACAGCTCTAAAAAGTGCTTCTATGGATCCTGAAGCACAGATCTGATTTAGACATTGTCTGCCCAAAATTCTTCTGTAGATGCTAAAACCAAACTCAGCTTCAGCACTAAAAAACCTACCCTGATTGCCCTTGGCCTACCTTTCCAGTGTTGTTTCCTTCCATGTCTTAGTCAAATGAATTTACTTGCTGACTCATTATTTCCTACCTCTGCATGTGCACATTAGTGGTATTTCTACTTGAAATAGCCATATCATTTAGCAATTACTGAGCATGACCATGGGGTAGGCACTGTATTTCATACTAGGGGATATGAATAAGAAACTATCCCTGCCTTCAAGGATCTTAGTGTCTGCCAGTAAGAGACAAATATGAAAATGTGTAAGTGCATTAAAGTGTTAATGATGCTGTGGGTAGAGTATGTGTAAGCTATAGTGAGACCCAATGAAAAGTGGTGGTCGATTCTACTTAGATATTAAGTAGGGAAAATTGAAGAGGCTTCCCAATGTGCTTCAATATGAGCTTGGCACACAGTTTTACTTTTTTTTATTATCCTTTCTTATCTAACCTTTCTAGAGTTGATATCAAAGTTTTACTAGCTCTGTGGAACAATCTGGCTAGCTTTTTCCTTTTCTCCTCTCTGCAACAGTACCAAAAGGAATTGATACTTGAAAGTTTGGTAAAACTTACCTGTAAAATTTCCTGGGTGTGATGTCTTTCAAGGAGGGTAGATTTTTTTTCATTATTGATTCCATTTTTAAAGGGTTTTTTTTCTTTTGTTTCCATAATTGGTGTTTCTAGAAAATTATTCATTTTATGTATTTGAATATTTTTTTCATAAAGTTGTATGCAAATTTGTACATGATTCTTTATTCACCACTGATTGTATAATTCCCTCCCTTTTGATCTTATTAAGATATATAATTCATTTTTTGTCAAGAGCTTTTGTTTTAGGAATTGGCCCTTTCAGTTATTCTATCTACTGGTAAAATTTGTAAAGATTTCTTTTTTACAGCTTCATGTGAAATTCATTATGCAAAAAGTATAATCTTGTAGAAGAAATGTCTAGGGCACTAATTGTTTTTCTTGTGTGTGTGTGTGTGTGAAGCCATAATCTTTAAATATGAAGTAGAGAATTTTTTTTAGAATATCAGGAACCGAAAGTACCAGTTTATTAAATTAGTATTCAGGCATATTCCTTTAATTTTTTTTTTTTCAGTAGCAGCCAAGGGACTTCTTGGACTAATCATCAGAATAAAGATAGAATATGCTCTTAAACCCTAAAATTCAAACTAAAAAATCAGCAGCCTTGTAGAGAAGAAATTTAATCATTGGATCTATTGAACTATAGAATTTTTAAAAAACATTTATCATCTAGGTTCAATCAGAAAAGATAATAGCTTTTATTTGGACAATGGCAGGATCCTAGAGCAGTAGTTCCTAGCTTTGACAACACATTAAAATCACCTACGGGGCTTTTAAAAGAGGCCCACCCAGACCAGTTACATCAGAATCTCTGGAGGGGAGGGAGTATCAGTATCTTTTATGGGTTCCCTAGGCGATTCTCATGTGCATCCAAGTTGAGAAACACTGCTATACGCAAACTTAAAAAAATGTTTCTGAGCCATCTTTTTTACATAACAGACCATGAAAAGGATAAAGCCCACATACTGAACCAAATGAGAGTTTTAACAGTAGATTCTAAGTAGAAAATTGGCTTACCAAGCAGCTAAAAACAAAACAAAATAAACAAAGGAAACACAGAAATAAACTCTCTGTGACTGAATTATGTGACTTTCAGAGGAGAAACATTTTAAAATTATTTTATGGATATTAGAAAACTGCTGGTCTAATTTCACACCACAGAACCCTAAGCAACAGTCCATTTTTTTTTTTTTTTTTTTTTTTTTAAAGGATGAGTCTCGCTTTGTCTCCAGGCTGGATCTCAAGACCTTGGCTCGCTGCAATCTCTGCCTCCCAGGTTCAAGTGATTATCCTGCCTCAGCCTCCCAAGTAGCTGAGACTACAGGCACGCACCACCATGCCCAGCTAATTTTTGTATTTTTAGTAGAGGCAGGGTTTCAACATGTTGGCCAGGATGGTCTCGATCTCTTGACCTCGTGATCTGCCTGCCTCGGCCTCCCAAAGTGCTGAAATTACAGGTGTGAGCCACTGTGCCCAGCCCAACAGTCCATATTTTAATTAGAAGAACACAACAGAGAGAATTATGTAGTTTAAGAAAAACTTCTTTTGAAAAATATACAGTAAATAGTACAGAAAAAAATTTTTTATCAGTAAATTCATTTTAAATATTAATATATCTTAATGGTCTATATGTAGATTATCACATATAACATGGTAGTTGTTTTCATTTGAATTTCCACATATTCTTTTTGTTTTATTTTTCAACTTATTTTAGAATTGGGAGGTACTTGTGCAGGCTTGTTACAAAGGTATATTGCAGGTGGCTGTGGTTTGGGGTCTGATTGAAACCATCACCCAGGTACTGAGCATAGTACCAAGTAGGTAGTTTTTAGTCTTTGTCCTCCTCCCTCTCTCCCTGCTCTACTATTAGTCCCCACTGTATATTGTTCCCTTCTTTATGTCCGTGTATATAATCAGTGTTTAGCTCCCACTTATAAGTGAGAACTGTTGTGTTTACTTTTCTGTCCCTGCATTAATTCACTTAGGATAATGGCCTCCAGCTGTATCCGTGTTGCTGCAAAGGACATACTTTCCTTCTTTTTTATGGCTGCATTGTATTTCATGGTGTGTGTGTGTGTGTGTGTGTGTGTGTGTGTGTGTATCACATTTTCTTTAGACAGTCCACCATTCGATGGGCACCTGGGTGGATTCCATGATTTTGCTACTGTGAATAGCACTGCAATGAATTTACAGGTGCATGTGTCCTTTTGGTAGAATGATTTATTTTCTTTTTGGTGTATAACCAGTAATAGGATGGCTGGGTCGAATGGTAGTTCAACTCTTAGTTCTTTGAGAAATTTCCAGACTGCACTCCACAGTGGCTGGACTAATTTACATACCCACCAACAGTGTGTAAGTATCCCCTTTTTTCTGCAGCGTCATCAATTTCTGGTATTTTTTGACTTTTTAATGAAAGCCATTCTAACTGGTGTTAGATGGTATCTCATTTTGGTTTTGATTTCCATTTCTATGATAATTAGTGATTATGAGCATTCTTTCATATGTTTGTTGGTGATTTGTATGTCTTTTGAGAAATTCATTTCCTTTGCCTACTTTTTATAGAGGTTGTTTTTTGCTTTTTGATTTATGTTCCTTATAGATAGTATGTATTAGACCTTTGTTGGATGCACAGTTTACAAATATTTTCTCTCATTCTGTAGGTTGTCTGTTTACTCTTTTTATAGT